ATCCACATCCAGGGTTGCAGTGTTATCCCTGTAGACACGTAGGCGAGCTGCTCTCCATCGAAGACACACATCGTCTGTGCCTTTCGGCTGTATGGAGATTACTTCTCCTTTCCGCCAGATTCGGTGTGACACTCGCTCATGAGCGCTTCTGACAAGATGCCACATCCTCAGTGCGCATGCGCAGAAATCAGCTCTGAAGCCCTTGCTTTGGTGTATTAAGACAGCAGTGGGCCCATGTGTCTCAAAGACAACAAAGTGGAAAGCGATCCCAAAAGTGTGACGATCAGGCTGTGGTCTAGCAAGCTCAAAAGAGCAGGTACTTGGAGGCAACAAATCAGCACAAGCCTGGCAAACGGCTTCACGGATATTACCTAGTTGTTCCGGCATGACAGTGATATCTCTAGCACGCTCGTTACATCCATCCGGCGGTGCGTACCAGACCTTGGCATGAAGCTGTCTGCTCTCAAAGATTACCTCACTCAAGTCCTTAGATTTCAAAATTGCTTGCAAAGACCGTTCGACATTGTGGTGACTTGGTGCATGAATGTCGACAAAATCGCCCAAAACTGATTGGCCCTGTGCAACGTATCTGTCGAGGCTTCCGTTTGTCGGTAAACCTCCAACTTCAACGGACAATAGACCATGACCTTCTGCGTCCTGATGACGGACTGGTTCATTGTCCCTACCCTCACAAGGTCCGGAAGGGTAAGCACTATCTGATTGGAGAGGGTTTCTAGCCTCTGGTAGGGCACACTCCTCTCTTCCAAGATCTGCCAGAGGGATGTTTTCATCTTCAGTAAATCTAGTAGCATTCTGCATCAAAATTCCATACTCATGAGGTGTGGCGTGACATGTTATTCCACGCATCCCTGTAACATCCGAACTGATGGGTCTTGGCCTACTTGGCTGGTCTTCAACTGTAGGATAGTCATCCCTTTGAGACCTGTTCGTGTTTCCCACGTGTTCGCTGGGAAGAACAGTGTCACCAGCTATCGTTGTAGGTTTGTTGGCATTCTCATGAACATCTTGCTGCATCATGAACAACTCATCTGAAAACCAGTGAGACTGGCTGTGACGCATGATGTTCACATCATTATGGTCAGCTTGTATCTGAGTATGATGGATGCTGACCTGCTGTGTTATTGCCTGAAGCTCGCCGCATGCATGTGCACTGACAAGGTTGAGGCACAAAACTAATCCGGTCCACGACAAGTTTCTTCGGAACCTCAGGCGAACCCCTTTCCTAGTCTGGCCAACTCGAACAGAAGGCCCTATGCAATCCCTTCGAAATCTGATATAAGACCTGCAGCATGCAAGGATCAAGATAACTAGGCAAATGAGGACAACAGCACAGCCTAATCCGTCCCATTTGCTTCCCCCATTCCTGCTAACTGTGCTCATCAGATTTACAAAAGTAAGAGACTCAACGGAACCAGCCAAAAAGGATACACATGCAGCATTCCTAAGCTCGATTCTCCCTCTTGGTCTCAGGTTATAGTAAAAACTGAGTTGCTGGATTCGGTACAGCAAAGAAGAATGCAAAAACAAACAATGCAGTACGAGCACCAGACCACAAATTCCTAGCATCCTGACATATTGAGCCTCGATCATGACATCATCCCATGTCGGCTCAAGCCAGGTGCTATTGTGCATGCGAAAAATCTGCTCATGCTCCTTGGCCATATTCTCTTCTGGGCTGGAGATAGGACTATCAGGTCTAGAGCACGGATGCGCACACGAAAAAGTCGATTCTATGGGATCAGCAGTGAAGAAGTGTCCGACGGCAGCTGTCAAATGGCATGCACCTGTTCCAGCCAACTCTTCATCCGTGGTCCATGAGTGAATCACAACAAAAGGGAAGTCGCCTGTCAGCCCTTCAAAATGGGCGCCAGAGTCACTCCACTTACTGTGCTGTTGTGTCATTGGAATGACAACGCTTTGAGAAGGCAGCTCGCAAATGTTCTGCCCTCCTCTATTATGAAAAACATTCCACCAGAAAGCCTCCCAAGGCACAGGTAGAAAGCAAAAAGTAATGCCACTGCATCTGCCACCCGTCATCCAATTGAAATCGGCGCCAGTGTAGACATGTCTGCAGTAATTCCCCATTGCATCTGGTCTATTTGGGCAGCCAGTACCAGCTAGCCCAACTTGTTCAACTCTTGTGAGTCTGCTCCTCCCGGCTCTGACCTTCTGGGACTCCTTTCCCTGTCTTCGTCCAACCTGAAGGTAGGGATCTGTGAGGGATAGGTCGGCCCCGTCTTCTCTATTGCATTCAATCTCTGCTTTCTGAGATCTGAAGGACTTGCTGCAATGCGGGGCTCTGAAGGCATTGGTCCATGAGCCCCTTGCCCCACATAAGCATTGAACTGCGTCTGAAGCAAGGCTAACATTCTCGCAGTGTTGGATTGTTCCCTTTGCGCCAATAGAAGCTGTTCTTTTAGCTCCCTGTTGGTGGCTGCATCCATATCCATGGCATCTGCTCCTTTCACATCTCTTGTGGCAGCATCGATGTCGAGTTCTTCGATCTTGTCCATGGCCTTCTGGATTTCCAGATCGATGCCTTCCATGTCGCTCTTGAACTTCTCCTGTTCTGCATCTTGATGCTTCTTGAGCTCTTCCTTGTATAACGTCCATGCTCTGGTCTTCTCCATCTTGGCCTTCTTCAATCTGGAAATTTTGTCCACTAGCTTCTTCCTCAGGTTGAGGTCCTTTTGTTGGTTCTTTAAATCTTCTTTGTCGTCGTCTTCCCCAACGATCAGCTTTGACTAGACTCCCATCCGATACATTGGATCCAGATGTTGACTTGATAGCCTCCTTTAAAGCTGTCCTCAACTCCGAAACAGAGGGCTGTGAAGACGATGAGGACCTGAGCGAGTCGTATCCAGGGAAGATCTGCTTGTCTTCTTCTTGATCTTTGTCCTTCTTCTTTTCGCCTTTCCTCTTCGGCGGCGTTCCCCATATGTTCCAAGATCGGCCTTTGCCCTTGGAACCTTTTCCGGTGGCCTTGCCACTCCATTGCCACTTCCATGACATCACCTGAAAGGCTCTTCTCTTGAGGGCCTCTGTGCGCTGTTTGGTCCACGAGTGATGTCGATGAAGATGATGTAGTGACCTGCGGAACTTGGAAGAAGTGAAATCACCTTTCGCTATGGCCGCTCGTAAGTGCAGTCTTGACCTTGATCTCAGCTTCCGCAACTTACGGTGCCAATTAGGTGAGCGAGGTATGTTGTCAGCTTTCGTATACCAGTCCGCCACCACGGGGATTACCACCAAGCTATGGCTCCACCGGCAAAGGCGCTAGGCACGGGACAGACGACCTATCGAACCACGTGGGTTCTGGGGCTCTAAAATCGCACACTTCGTGCTCTTTGAGCCCTTCCAAACAAAATATAGAAAAAGAAAACATGTATCGGTATAGTGTATGATTGTTTCTATATGAATATTATACAGTAAGAATATAGAAAGAGTGTTTGCCATCTATGTAATGATAAAGCCGGACCCGGAATAATCCAACCTAATGACTTAGTGTGATATTTTTGGACTTGCGTAGTTGTTTCTATATGCCTATGTCATTTGCAGGTACTTGATTGTCAGCAAGGACCCTTGGTCCCCTTAAAGCCACCACAAAGCATCTCGCATTCTTGTCAGAGGTAGGGAGGGCCAAAAATGTATAAGTTAGATTTAGATTGATGTTAATTCTAATTCTATTGAATTGTTTCTATTAGCTTCTTGTTACTAGTAGTAAGGCCAGGAGCCCCGTTCGTAGCGTCCGATCGCTCCTAGTAGCGATGCCAGGAGCCCCTAGTAACTTGCTCCTAATCAATTCCTGGTTTGTCCAAATCCCAAAGCCACCTGGACATGGTGATCCTTCGCATGGTGATCCTCCGGTCAAGCGTCGGGCTTCAAGCGGACGCTGGTGTCCGCCAGCAACTGCCTCAGCGAGGCCTCGCCCACCATGTGAAACCCGCCATGGCTTGGCGAAGGTCAACGTGTTCGTAACGAAAGACTTCCAAGGACCCCGCGGGTCGCAACTCACATCGTCCTACTATGGCGGACAAACAATCCTACTATGGCCTCTCCCTTTCTTGGTAGCTTCGCATCCTCGCTGGATGTTAAGCTTGATTAGCTCAAAGACGATCCTGGAGCTGTCACCCTTACCGGATCTTACCGGCAAAAGTGGCGGAACCCGCTTTACAGTGGGACATCAACCCATCTTCGGACGGCATATGAACATCTGCGACATCGGGTCCCTTCGAGGAACACCCAAATCCATCTCATCATACCCTTTTTTGCCCCAAAGATGGACCTCCAAGCACTCTAGGCTTTGCTTGTGGGCATATGCAAGCAAAGTGGCTATGTGCTGTGGGGTCGTACCACCTAAAGCATCAAGAAACAAATCAAAAGTTGTATCAGAATGTCCCTACCAAACGAACAAAATAAAGCAATCCTAACAAGATAGAGCAGGGCGCAAAAGCAGTCAATGTGCTGCGCGAGCGTTTGAACGTTAATTACCTTGTCAAACTCTTGCCTCGAATAACCAATTTACACCGGTTCCTCTGACGGCGGCAGCTATATAAAATGTTGTGGCTGGATCCCACTCTTGAGCCAAACGAAGCTTCAGTCTGACAAAGTGTGCTACTACCAATCAGATTGGATCGCAACCTTGCGAAATGATAGTTCGACCTTGATAGATCGACTGCATTTTCTGTTGATCCCTTTCATACCTCATACCTGTCGGTACTTTGCCATGTCACTTTGGTGTTGCCCCTCAACCCCTGTCTTGTCAGCAAACCATCGTAGTAATGCCCAGTTTGATCAAAGAAAGGCATCGTGTCGATGTGGTATTGGAGGCTTCACCTGCCATGCATCGTCCAGGGGGAGAATTGCTGGTAAGCTCCATCCAAGAACTTCAACATGACCACGGTGGTGACCGGATGACCTGGCTTCCTTGTTTCTCGGTTCGATCCCCGGCGGCACCATTGTGGCACCGCCAGCCCCACCTATGCCGGGGGCTGGGCTGGCGAAGGCCATCGCTCGCGGGCGAGCTGGCCCTCAGGTGGTTTTCATGGGCACGGCGGCACAGCAGCACGAGGCACGAGGCACGATCGATGCCATGAGTGCCGTGAGTTTTCAGAACACAGTTTCACTGAACATCACAGATTTCTGAACCATGAAGTTCACTGAACATCACTGAACCACCCGCTCGTAGGTTGGAGGTTATCTCTAGGTTGGAGGCCATCCCTCTTACGTTTCTTAAAGTCTTTTTCTTACGATATGTTTAAAGTATGTGTTCGATTCTCTTTGGGGAACGAACAACAGCTTGCCCTGGGTGGATCGCAACTCAGGGCAAATGGTCGGACCGGTGGTCAGAGGTCGTTTCCGTCTCATTCAGGTGCACCTGCATGCTTTGGAACAACGGGTGCAAACGAGAAGTGAGGATTGCCACATTTGGGAACTGGGAAAGCCCAGACATTCGTTGAGTACGAACTTGGCATTCCATGCGTACCCAAAGCAATCAAAGCTCCGTCGAAAATGGTGCAAATTGTGTAAGGTGTGTATACGAAACATCATGAGCTTCCCAAAATATATGAGCAGCACTGCAGCACAATATATGAGCATCGGAACTCATTGGGTTCACTGCAGTGAATGGTTCACCTAAACCTCTGATGATGTTTTGATTCACGTTGAGTAAAGGACTCAGTGCGAACAGCGTGTTTCATGAAAGCTGCTCTGGACTTCTTTGTCACACAGTCAACTGAGTTACCCTCAAAATGTTGCTCTCATCATGAATCAAGAATTAATTAAGATCCCTGTTGCACAGCTGCATGAAACGGCCAGCCGGCCTAGTGCTGGTGCTGCCCCACCGATCTCCTGATGGACAATGAGAACGAACGAAGAAGAGCAAGGTGCTTACGAGCGGTGTCAGGTCTATAAAAACATGATAAAACATCTACATAACTATTCCTAACTGTGACGTTTGGAGATCATCCTGCACCTAAATGTGTGTCTCTTTTTTCCAGCAGTCTTGGACCCAACGCCTTAGCCGATGCCAAGCATGTTGTCTTTGAGGCTCCCTGACTTTGAGACACACCTTGTGGGGTTAACCGGTTAACCTTCTGAACTCGTTTGAACCTGAGGCCCAGTTTTTGTCCCGGGGCCCAACTGGACCACAGGAACCCGGTGATGCTTTTTCAACCTCCCCTCTTGCTCAACCGCTTCAGCGGGTTTCAGAAAGCACCAAGAAGTCGCGCCTTCCTCGTGCCCACCCATGCCGTCCACGAAGGCGAGAACCTCTCGTCGATCGACCACAGTCTGAGAGCTGAGACTCGTTCCCCTCCCAACTGTTTGAAGCTCCAACGTTCTCACGTTCTCTCATCAGCTCTACGTCTGACGGATCCAAAATGATCCAAAGATCCAACGAGTTTTCTGGGTACCCTCTGGGACAGGATCACGGTTTGGCCGTGGCCTTCAGGCGGCATCACTGACCACCACCATGACGCGCCACCTCTTTCCATGTGCTTTCTTCACCGGTGAGGCGGTGGACCCTGGAGCCCCGAGAACCGAACACCCTTTGGCATGTCAAATGGGGCGTTCCTGCGATGCATCGCCAAACACTAGAGATGAAAAGAATTCCCTCCCTCTCGTTTCAACGACTGCAGCCAATTTAGGGACGAGCATGCCGGAATACAGAGAAAGAGATAGACCGACCTAAAATGTCACATCCATACTGTCCATGGAGTCCATACCAACCATTAAAACCCTAAGTCGGAAACTTCCAAAGTACCTGTCCTTCAATACCTCTCCTTGCAAAACACGGTCGTCCCAGTCCCGGTCGCAGGTCGTCCCCACCCGGTTTGACGGTCGCTCAGGTAGCTCCGGCTGCGGAGTCTTCCACCTGAGCACCTTAGGCACGGTCGAGCTGCGGATTCGACGCTTAGCGAGAGCCAATTTGTTGGGGGAGACCAGCAAAAGACATGTATGATTTGGCTATAATGCATGTTTCCCGTCAAGTGAGATACCCGCAAAGCCAAAGGATATGACGGGGAATAATAGGTCTGGAGGCTTCTTTTGGGGCCTAGAGTCAAGATTCGAACTTGATGCTCAAACAAAATAGATTAAGGGGGAAGGCCCAAGGATCCTGTCCAATCTCTTTGTGAGGTGTTTGCATCTGTGGCCACACTTCTTGCAGCTCTAGGGGTCTTCTGCGAGTTTCTCCCACCTGAGGACCAAAAGAACATCTCATTCCACCAAGAGGGCCACGGGCACCACCTGGCGCACCACCTCGAGCCTTGCCTGATCCCCCCCAAGGAAGCGGCGAAATGCTTCACACATCACATCTCAGCTTCATTTCTGCCCAGCAGCCCAGATTGGCTCCGCTTGTCGTTTCACACGACAGCGGAACCACCCGCTTTTCACACGACAGCGCTTTCGCGGAGCCCAAACGTTGCGGTGTGCGGCGTTCTTCTTCTCGACACAAAGGCTACCCTACTAACTCTCCTAGGTTCTCGGCTTCAGAGTGCAGTGTGAATATTACAGGCCTGACCTCACATGGTGGCCTGACGGGGCAGGTTGTGCCCACATGTGTTGACCACTTTCCTGCGACAGATCTGCGGCAACATCTGTTTAGAGCACTCTAAACAGTGTGGGGACCTGACTCGGAGTCTGAAGACTGAACCAAACATCTGCCCTATACTCGAACGTGCTTCAGCAAGATGAACTGCTGGCCTTGGTTGGTGCGAACGTCAAAGCGCATGATTCTTCCCACTATGCCGCTGAGTCTTTGCGAACGTCTGGTGACAAAAGCATCCAAAAGAAGTTCTAGATTCTAGACCGACTTGCTGTGCCACAATCTTCTCAGTCAAACCCACATTGAAAAAGTTGGTTCCTTCATTGACTTCCTGGGATCCTTCTACGGCGATCGAGAGGAGCGCGTTTTTCTGACATCTCTTGCTGGGCGAGTTCACACCGAGAAATCGAATGCATTTGATCGAGGAAAACGTCTGGTTTGCTTCATGTAGACTCTTGAGGACCATAAACCCCCCAAGAGGACTTCCAATTCAAAGGCTCATAAATCAAGAGTCTACAGAGTCTACATTACTCAAGTTTTGACATTGCGCTCGCCAAGGAAAGTCTCTCTTCCGTCGCAACACTACTCCATTTGGAGACATTGACGAAAAGGGATGCCTGTTGTTCCAAGATCCTCATGCTCCCGCTCCCTCCGCTTTTCGTCCTTTTCGCACGTTGTTGCGTCATCGCCGGTGTGCAGTCGAAGGCTCGTGAGTGGTGGGCTTGCAGTGGACAGGGGGGGGGTCACCAGCAGTCACCAACCGTAACCAGTGTACGGCCGTTTCGACTCCTCCAGAGTCCGACACCCCCACGTCCGGGAGCCATGCGAGCACGAATTCCGGGAACACATTCCTGATGACTCAATGTGACATCTTCCAAAGGATGAGGCAGGAAAGAAGGTAGATGAAGGATGATGAAGGTAGCCCTGGTGAGATCTGAGAACGATTGTCGTGTTCATGTCCTGCCAGTCTCCCGGTGCCACGTGTTCACCTGAGCTCGACGACGAGCGCTTCAACCTGGCGAGGGGCGTGTGGATGCAAGTAGGTCTGAGCGTGTGCAGAAACCAGAAAAAGAAAACACTCCTGAAACATCCTGAAACATCCTGAACCCACTCAGCTCCCCGACCCCTCTCGAACTTGTGGGCGCTTTCAGTCAGTTACTGTGCCAAGTCAAAGCGTTCATTCCGAAACCCACAGGTTCCCGGAAGACAGAAACACCTAATTATTTGATTCACGTGGCCAAATCTATTGAGTCACTTGGAACAGAACGCCCCGCAAAAAAGGGGTCAGACGGGTGTCACAAAGGCACGCTTGCCGCCTAATGTCTAGGCTCCCAATGGTGGTTGCCATAGTCCTCTTCCCAACCTGCGCGCATGCCAAACGCTATTTATTTAAAAATAAGAGAAACTGCTCAGATCCGTAAGGCTGGGCATCAGGAAGCATTACAAAGGTAGCAACATCAAGATCATCTATATCTAACTATATCAATATTATATATGTCAATTGGCCATGTCTGCCACCAGTCACTCGCAGGGCTGTCGTGCACTTCCGGCCGTTCGCCCGAAGGCCATTTCGCGACTCGAGGCATCGCAGGAAAAAGGCGGACACCTCGGTAGGTGTTTTGTGATTGGTAGCGGAGCCAGTCGAAAGGGACCGGCTCCGGGTAGGATCCCTGAGTTGCGCCATGTCTGCCGCCGCTCCTTTCGACCCTGGAGGTGGAAACAACAAGGTTTTCACTGGCGATGATGAAGATGCCAAGGAGTACCGAAGATGGAAGAATTGGACTGCCAACAAGTTGCTGACGCTCAGCGACAAGGTGCCCGCCACGGCTCGTGGCGCCTACGTATACACGTTGTTGGGTGGCAAGGCCTTGGAGGCCGTGGAGCACTTGGAACCATCCTCCTATCAGAAGGAGGGTGGCGAGAAGGTGCTGTTCGAGCTTCTGGATCGTCGTTTTCCTCAGAAGGAGGCTTCGGATGAGCTCAGCGAGAATCTGACCAAGATCTTTGAGCTGCGAGCCAACGAGGGAGAATCCCTCAAGTCGTGGGTCAGTCGAGCTTCCGAGGCTTTTGACAACCTGCAGCGCAAGACGAACGTTTCCTTTCCGGAGGAAGCTAGAGGATGGCTCATCCTCCATCGTTCAGGCCTCAATGCTGAACAGGTTGCCGTTGTTTTGGCCATTTCCCTGGGAGTGCTTAAGCGTGAAGAGATTGGAAAAGCGATGCGCAGCTGCTATCCTAATTTCTCTGCACCCAAACGCCGTGCTGCTAGCGCTGCCCTGGTTTCCGACTAAACCCTGCTGGCTGATATGTTGGAGGATGACGAGGACGGTCTGGATCCTTCATTTGAGGACGTTGAACTCCTGTTGGCTGATGACACTACAGCCGATGGTGGAGAACCCGACGACGTGTTCGAGGAACGTGACATCAAGGAGACCTTGGCTGTCACTTGGCAGGAAAAGCGAAA